TTCTGTTATACTAAATTCACCCAATCTTTTTCAGGGTGCAGGAATGACCATGTACCTTTAATCAGTATATACACAATATTTTGGGCTCTACTTTTTTACCTAACACAGTTTAATATACCTGTTTACAGGCATCCATTTAGTTCCCATACTGACCATTTTAACAGCCATATCGTATTATATGAAACAGACTACAGCTTCACCGTTTCCCTGCTGTGGGGCATTTGGGATGTTTCCAGTGATCTAAAAAGTGCTGCTATAAACATCTTTGCCCAAATTGCTTGTTAAAATCTTTGGGGACTATTTTGAGCAAGGGCATTTGTGGGAAGCCGATGAAGGAAAAGTCCCTGGAATTTTCATTTCTCCTTGGACAGATGCTCTTTTTTTAGAATTAGCTCTTGGCATCCTGTAACGCGCAAGTAGCTGGATGATCTTGGATAAGTTACTTCACCTCTCTGCAACTTGGACTTTTGCTATTTAAAATGTGGTCCTCGGACCAATGATATTGGTTGGGAGCTTGTAGAATTACAGGATCGCTGGCCCTTCCTAGCACCTAGTGAATCAGAATCTGCATTTAATGAAATCTTCAGAAGCTAGTTCTTGATCACATTAAAAGATGGAGAAACTACGCCTTAAAATATTCACCTGTCAAACAGGGGAATAGAGATCCTTCCTCAAAGCTGTTGAAGACTAAATGCATTAATGCATATACATGAAGTATATACAAGAGCACCAGGCACATAGTGAGTGCTATGTGTTTGCTACTTTTATGACTCTTCCCAGCTAGTTGTACAAAGTCTCAGACTGGCAGATTCCTAGAGTGCCTTAAAGAGAACAAATAGGGGAGATGTCCCCCTGGTGGTGTGGGCAGGGATAACACACTTTCTCACCCCTCGTGATCAAAGTCCTTAAGCAGAGCCAGATCAAGTCCCAGGGAGCTGACAAGTGAGTCTGAAAGCACTTTGGGCAGGAACCAAGACAGGGTGGCAGCCAGGTAAGATCTGATACTTCTGGCTATGCTGATTGGGGTGGCCAGCCCCTGCCATCTACAGAAGGGCTGGTGAATAATGCATACCGAGTCCTGACCCCACAGAGAGAACAGTCCCTTAGATTTGCAGCCTGGCTGCTGGCCAGCCTGCAGTTAAGGTGCACCTGCCCAGATTTCCCTGGGGGACAGGCCCAGCCTCTCCTGCCCACAGGTAGCTTGGGGCAGATGGACCTGCTTGGATTGAGTAGCTGCCGGCAGAGGTGGAGGGGCATCTTCCCAAATCCTCTGCTTGGTGACACTTTTCTCATCCTTCAAGGCCCTGTGTTTCCTTTTTGATTCCACTAACGCCAATTAAGTAAACTTGTTTCTGTTTTTTTCACCATATGAGTGGTCCATATGGTTTTGTAATTTTCATGCCATATTATATTGGGAATCTCAAATTCAGGTGGCCCCAAGGACTACAGTTTACATAAATACGTGAAGTAGTCTGGGGCAAGACAATTGAGCTTGGTGAGGACTGTGGCAAGTGGCAAGCCCATTGTGAAGGGGATATTTTTACTCTGTTCCAGCCCATTGCTATGCAGGAATGTGAGCCCAGTGTGATGAGATCTTCCCATTTTTCAAAAGAAAGTAAAAGTTTGGATTTTAGGTGCACCTGGCTGGCTCAGTTGGTAGAGCCTGCAACTCTTGATCATTGGGTTGTAAGTTCAAGCCCCAAGCTGGGTGTAGAGATTACTTTAAAAAAAAAATTAAAGTTTGGATTTTAATGTAAAATTGTCCTTTTCGTAATTAAAAAATTTACATAAATGTTAATAGTGGCTTTATTCATAATCAATCCAAACTGGAAACAATGCAAAGGTCACTCAGCCGGTGAATGGATAAAGAATGGAGAAGTAAATCGAGCATACAATGAAATATACTCAGCAGAAGAAAAAAAGAAACAAACTGTTGATGCACAGGGATCCCAAATGCATTATGCTGACTTCTGCTTCTGGCCAAGATACAGTAACATGGACCAGATTTACCTTCTTTTTTTTTTTTTTAAAGATTTTATTTATTTGACAGAGAGAGACACAGCGAGAGAAGGAACACAAGCAGGGGGAGTGGGAGAGGGAGAAGCAGGCTCTCCGCCGAGCAGGCAGCCCGATGCGGGGCTCGATCCCAGGACCCTGGGACCATGACCTGAGCCGAAGGCAGGCGCCTAACGACTGAGCCACCCAGGCGCCCCCAGATTTACCTTCTTATCTGAAACAACCACAAAATGGGGAAAATATACATGAAATTATGTTTTTTATTCAAGACACTGGACATCAGTCAACAGAGGACGGGGTCACTGAGAAAGAGGAAACAAATTGTAGGAGTTATTCTAACATTGTCCCATTTATTGTCCTGAGAGTGTTTCCAGGTGATGGTGCAGGGAGGGGGATCCCAGGTGAAGCCTGGCAGACCCCGAGTTGAGAAGATAGAGCTAAAGGCCAGGGGGGCCAAGGAGGTTAGAATTGTAGAGAGGGAACAGCTGCACACAGAGAATCCAGAGGCCCACTGAACCCCCTCCAGCAGTCAGCTGAGCGCTGGTCAACATGTATGCAAGGACAATCACCTGAGGCCAAGGAAAGAACCACCTAAAATGATTAGAAGTAAGAGTGTACAGCTTTCACACTGGCCCAGGAATAGTGCCTCGTCCCACCAGCCAGACTGAAAACTTCATGATGTATTGATCTTGCCTCACGTAGTGGGGAAAAATCAGCTCTAGACTGAGCACTGTTTTAGTCCCAGATAAATGTTAAAAGCAAGATTTGAAAGGATAAAATTGTTTTCAAGTAACTGCGTCTAATGTAAAGCTCAAGAATATTTTTAGGGAAACTGAAATACAAAAGGAAAGAGAAGAAAAAGGGGTGGAGGAAGGGAACCGATCAACAAGGTAAAATTCACAATGCCTGACATTCCATCAGCAATAACCAGGCATGAAAACAAGCCTTGTTTCACTTTTATTGAGAGGTATTGTTATGAGTTGAACTGTGCCTCCCAAGGATATGCTGAAGTTCCAACCTCCAGGGATGAAAATCATAATTCAGAGTCGGTCATTAATTAGCTGGGAATCTTGAGTAAGTCACGCTTTTCTTCAGGCATCAGTTAAGAATTCTGAATATTTCTCTGTGTGCTTATGTGTATATTTCCCATTCAGAGTTTTTAGAATGGTTTGTGAACCCCAAAAGTTGAGAACCTCTGCAGTAGATGATCTTTCATGTTTGTTCCTTCAACAAATATTAAGGGCCTACTATGTGCCAAGCTCTGGGGATACGATGATGACCAAGACAGAGAAAAGATCCCTGAGATCTCATGCAGATTATATACCCATGGAGGGATTCATACAACCAACATGGAGACAAACACTTTCACACAATGGTAACTTATATGAAGGAAATAAGACAGGTGACATATAAGTGACTGGCACGAGGCATGAAGCTCTGGGTATTCAGGACAGGTCTTTTTTCTAGAGGTGTTGTTACTGTTTGAATTGTGTCCCCCAGAAAGATATGTTGAAGTTCTAATACCCATTACCTCAGAAGGTTGTCCTTATTTGGAAACAGGGTCTTTGCAGATGTAATTAGTTCAACTTAGGTGAGGTCATGCTGGAGTGAGTGGACCCTTAAATCCAGTAAGATTGGTGTCTCTATAAGAGGAGAGGACACGGAGACAAGCACACAAGGAAGAAGGCCATGTACCAACAGAGGCAGAGACTGGAGGGATGAAGCTGCAAGCCAAGGAATGCTAAGGATTGAGGGCCACCACAAGCTAGGAAGAAGCAAGGAAAGATTTTACCCAGTCTTGGAGCATGTCTTTGCTGACACCTTGATTTCATACTTCTAGCCTCCAGAACTGTGACAGAATACATTTCTATTGTTTAAGCCACTCAGTTTGTGGTATTTAAACAGCGCAGTTTCTGGTATTTAAACAGCACAATTTGTGGTTAAGGCAGACCCAGGATCTTTCTTTTTTCTTTTCTTTTCTTTCTTTCTTTCTTTCTTTCTTTCTTTCTTTCTTTCTTTCTTTCTTTCTTTCTTTCTTTCTTTCTTTTTCTTTTCTTTCTTTCTTTCTTTCTTTTCCTTCCTTCCTTCCTTCCTTCCCTTCCTTCCCTTCCTTTCTTTTGTAATTAGGCTCCATGTCCAACGTGAAGCTTGAACTCAGGACTCTGAGATCAAGAGTTGCTTGCTCTACCCACTGAGCCAGCCAGGTGCCCCAGCAGCCCTAGGAAATTAATACAGGTGTCATTTGAACTAAGGCTTGAATGATGACAAAAAGACAACCATATGAAGATTTAGAGGGAATGGTCCCTCATGGGTAGGAAGAGAAAAAACAGTGTCAGGAAGTACTGATCCGGGGGAGTGAGATAGGAGATGTGACTGGGAAGCTAGGCAGGGATAGATCTTGTAGGTCCATGCAGGGAGAGGGAGGCAGTGGTATCATACGAGCGACAGACACAGCTGTCAAGAGAGTCACGCAGAATCTTAGGGGGCAGGAGTCTAGGATGTATTCGTTGCAGTAAGTCATGACCTGGTAAGACGACGGGTCCTTCTCTGCGCTTCCCCGCCCTGCTGGCGACCTTGCTGGATGGTCAATGTCAGTTCTAGCATTCCAGGCCGTTGGCTTTGGCTCTGGTTAGGCAATGCCAAGGAGTGGTGAGCTTTCACCTCCCCCAAATCTTCCTTCCTCCCGACTCCAGACATCCCAAATAAACACAATCTAAGTAAAATCAGCTCTGCAAATGCAGCTTGTGGACAAGTTCCCCAGCCTCAGCTAGGAGAGATTGGAAGCGCAGAAGCATTCTCAAGGGGGCAGCAACAGACCCTGCCAAGACCCGCAAAACTAGCCGGCGCGCGGGCGCGCGGGGGAGGAGCTAGGGGAGGTGCGTGCGCATGCGCGGGGCCCTGCCTCCCGGCGAGGGGGTGGGGCGGGCGCTGGGGTGGGGGCTGTGACGTCAGGTGCGCGCGTGGCTCCGGCTGCGCAAGAACAGCTGGTGCCTCCGAAGGCGGCCGGCGGGCGGAGGGGCTGGGGTGCTGGTGGCCGCCCGCGCCACGCTGCGGGAGCTGCCGCCGCCGCCGCCTCGCACCGTCGCACCATGTCCGGCCAGCTGGAGCGTTGCGAGCGCGAGTGGGACGAGCTGGAGGGAGAATTTCAGGAATTGCAGGTAGGGCCGGGCCACCTGGTCGCGCAACTCTGCTACCTGCGGTGCAGTGCCTTCCCCTTCCTGCTAACCCAGCCGGGGCGGTGGGGACCATCAGGGTCCAGGCGGCTGCCTCTGGCTGGGCACTGTGGGGCTGGTGGTCCGCGTGGGCCAGCACCCGCCTATCTCCCAGCACTTCAGTTCTTCATCCACTTGGGGCGCCCGGTCGAAGCTCCCCATTACCCCGCCTTCGCACCGGCTCTTTGCTCCGCGCGCCTCCTTCTCTGCAGAAAGTTGGTCTGTGGTCTCTGAGGGGAAGTTCCAGGTGTGTCATGTGGGGGAGGCCTGAGGGGACAGATATGTGCTGGAACTGACAGTACAGCCCAGCCCCCACCTCCGCAGGGGTCTTCCCTAACCGCACCCCCGTCCACCTGCTTTTGGCAGCCCCACTTCTCCTGTATTCTGGTGGGGCAGCCATCTCTTCTGCAACTACATTTTGAGAGATGTGCTTGGGAGCCGTTCACCTTGAACCCCTAGGGTTTGCGCAGGGACTAGGGACCCCTGTTCTGCGTCTTTGGGGGCTCTGGTGTCTGTGCCCTCTTCTGTGCCGCTGCTGCAGGCTGAGTTTGGCGTTGTGGATGGCATCTGTCAGTTCTGACAGCTGGGTTGTCTCCCTCCGTGATAGAGGCTACTCCCAGCCCTCACCCATCTGGCCCAGGACCTTATACCCGGTAGGGTGAGGGCAGATGTAAGAGAGGTCCCTTGAGAAAATTGCCCTAGTGGGGTTCTGGCAGGAGGAACTGTTCCTGAAAGGAGGTTCAGACAGGTCTCAGCTACCAACTCAGGCGACTAGAGACACCTCATATGAAACCCTGGGGTTGGCCAAGAGGGACTCCTGGACCCGTTTGGGAGATGGGGCTTTTTCCTCTCAAGCTACTAGATTGTGTTTGTTTTCTCTGAAGTTGGACTCTGTTTGCCTGAAATCACATTGCACAGCTCCACCCCACTTCTTCCTATCCTTGGCTGGAGCAATGACATTTTCCCTGTCCATGTACCTCTCGTCTCCAGTTGGTGGGCCTCTTACGGTGTCCAGAGGAGGGGAGAGGAGATTGTTTGTGATGGGGCTTCTGGACCTGAGGCAGTAGGCCCTGATGTTTAAAGAGAGGGGTGCTGCAGAGACGGAGCAGGAAGGTGGGGGCGAGGGGTCTGTTCTAGGAATGAGCAGAGAAAAAGTATCCAGAACCAGTATGCCTTTCTTGGCCTGTGCAGCATGTGTGGGTAGGTGCCCTTTCCTTCAGGTCCAGGGCTTGGCGGGGAGGGGGGGGGGGCCCAACCCAATTCCCAGGGGATCCTTCTGGCTCCAGTCCCATCGAGAAGATTCGACTGCCTCTTAACACTTTGTCTTACTTGACTGTCAGGTCATGTTCAGCTGTGGAGTCATGGAAGGGGTGTTAGGGTTGGGAGTGGGAGAAGACTTTTGTTTTTGTTTTTGTTTTTTTTAAGGATATTATTTATTTATTTGTCAGAGAGAGAGAGAGAGCACAAGCAGGGGGAGTGGCAGGGAGAGGGAGAAGCAGGCTCCCCGCTGAGCAGGGAGCCTGACGTGGGGCTCGATTCCAGGACCCTGGGATCATGACCTGAGCCGAAGGCAGTCGCTTAACCTACTGAGCCACCCAGGTGCCCGGGAGAAGCGTTTTATTGTGTGGAGTTTTTGTTCCTGAATTCCTCTCCCTTCCCTGCCTTACTCTAGGAGGAGGAGTTGTCCTAACACTTCAGAGCCATGCAATTAATGCAATCAACAGCAATTAGATAGCTAGTCTTGGCAAGCAGAGCTTGCAAAGGAGACGTTTGATTTGTTGTTGTGTTCTTACTTGGGATCTTTGGGGTTCCGGTGTGTGAGGGACAGAGAGGAATTGGGAATTCTGAATTTTGTCCCCTGGTGCACAGCAAGGGCTGGAGAACAGCTGACTGGGGGGAAACCGTGGTGTCCCCTACTCAGTTCTTCAGCAATGGGGGAACTGGAATGGCCTTGGCCTTTGGGGAGCAGGGACCCTGCTGGCCTCAGGCTTTGGTGGACAACTCCTGGGTCAGAGGCCAGTGATAGATGGAAGGCCACAGAGTCCCCCATGAATCAAGGTCATAGACATTGTCTATATCTTCATAGATGAGGAAACTGAAGCTTGAGAATCTAATTCAGTCAACTGGGGTCACACAGCTCTTGAGTGGTAAAGCTGCTACTAGAACTTAGTACTCTAAATGCTTAGTTTGGATGTCTGTCATTGTGCTGGGAGGCCTGTCTCTCTCTTCTCACTTCCATATCCCCCATAGTAAATATGAGAGCTTTGAACTCCTGAGATGAAAGTTTTTGGGATATGTGTATAATAAGTAGGGTGTACATTGTCATTGGGTATGTGTTGGACAGGCTTTCGGATATGAGACATTTATTGCAGGGCAGGGAGGTCACAACAGGTAGGCAGGTGGACAGATTGGAACTAGAAAGGAAGGATTAATTTTTTTACCAGAAAATTCCTGTCTATCTTTATTTTCCTATATCTGCCTCTGAATCTGGGATTTGTAGGTTTCGTGTTTGTATCTTTCTGATTCTGTGTTTCTTGGGGTCATAGCTAATATCTCTGTGTCTCACCTCTCCTTCCCTTTTTCAAATGAAGGGAGGAAAGAGAAAACCTAATTGTCAGACCCCAGAGGATTGGAAAGGTCTTTGGAATCCCCGCCCTGCAAAAGTCATAATCTCTGGGACTTTCTAGAGGAAAGGATCTGTTTTCTTTTGACTGTGATTTGTCTCTGCCAGGGCCTCACTAGACTCAGGGCCAAGGTCAAGTGGCTATGGGGACTTCGGTTTTGGCTGGCTGGGATTTCAGCCATGCTGGTGAATTGAGCATCAGTCTGAGACCAGCACATGTTTGGCCCTGTGGCCTGTGGTGTGACCACAGAAGGTCACTTACAGACACTGTGGCAGGTGATTTAATAAGCGTTTCCTGACTTGCATCACTGGAAACCTGACCCCACCCCTTCCCATCCAGAAAGGAGGTGGCCGGAAGAGGCCTTTCCCGAAACCTAACGTCACAGAAATGCAGAAATACAGTGGCCTGGTGGGCCACTGTAAAGATTTTGGCCTTTCCTACCAATGAAACGGGCACCCCTCTGGCTGCTGTGTATGGAATAGACACGAGAGGGACAGGGTAGTAGCAAGAAGGTCAGTATTATTTTATTAAACCCTACGAAATAGATCTTGTTATCCCATTTTACAGAGGGAAAATCATATACCCGAAGTTATATGTCTTGTAAGTGCTGGAGTCAGGATTCAAACCCAGGCTGTTGAACGTCAAGGTCTGTACTCTTAACCACTACCTAAGGCAGGTCTGTGCCCTGGGTACTCTTTTCGTTTCTCTTCCATCTTGCATTGCCTTATGGGTCTCTTTCTTTAGAAGTGCGTTGTGTGGGGCGCCTGGGTGGCTCAGTTGGTTAAGCGACTGCCTTCGGCTCAGGTCATGATCCTGGAGTCCCGGGATCGAGTTCCACATCGGGCTCCCTGCTCAGCGGGGAGTCTGCTTCTCCCTCTGACCCTCTTCCCCTCTCATTCTCTCTCTCTCTCAAATAAATAAATAAAATCTTTAAAAAAAAAAAAAAGTGCGTTGTGTGGAAAGAACCCTGGACAGGGAGTCACAGTTCCTGGGTTCAGGCCTGAGGCCTGCACCTGTCTAGTATCTAACCGTTAGCAAGCCACCTCTCTGAGCTTGAGTTTCTTTATCTAAAAAACAAAGGCTGACAGTAATAACGGTAAGAGCTAACTGTATGATACATGGATGATTCCATTTAATCTAAATGACCAACCCTGCTTTATACTGAGGCTAAGAGATGTTAAGTAACTTGGAAGTCATGGAATTTTGGAATGTGAACCCAGGTCTGCTGTGTACATCAGATATTTTTTGGGTTCCTAACACTGTGGGCTCCCAAAGTCTCTTGAGACCCTTGGCTCTGGAAAGAAACTTTTGAACTTGTGGGGTCTCATTTCATTTGTACAGTGCTTTATATATGCAATAAATATATATATAATATAAATATATATGTAATAAAGCACTGCATATATATAATACATTAATCAGGATTCTTAGTTGCAAAGTGACAGAAACCCCGTTCTACTGGCTTTAAGCCAAAAAAAGGATTTTATTAGCTCACATATTGGGAAATCCAGTGACAAATGGCTTCAGGCCAGGCTAGATCCAGGGGCTCCAATGATGTGTCTGTGTGTGTGTCTCTGTTTCTTCTTCTTCTTTTTTCCCCCCTAAGATTTTATTTATTTATTTATTTTAGAGCCGTGTTTGTGTGTGTGTGTGTGCGCGCGCGCGCGCGCGCGCGCGGGCAACTTTGGGGGAGGAGCAGAGGAAGAGGGACAAGCAGACTCTGTGCTGAGAGCAGAGCCCGAGGTGGGGCTCAGTCCCATGACCCGGAGATCATGACCCTAGCCGAAACCGAGTTGGACGCATAACCGACTAGCCACCCAGGCACCCCCCTCTGTTTCTTCTATATCAGCCTTATTCTCAGGCAGTCTCTCCCATGTTGGGGTGACCCCAGGCTGACATCTACCAGCTTAGCAAATCTGGCCAAAACGGAGCATCTTTTCCCTGGTAATTCCAGCAGGAGTCCCAGGGCCAACTCTCATTGTCCCCGCGTGGGTCACATGATTATCCCTTAATTAACCAGTCACTGTGGCATGGATTGGCTGGGCCTTGGTTTACATGTCTCCGCTGGAGCCCAGGACTGGAATGAGGGCCACTCAAACCATATGAAATAAAAATGAGGGAGGGATAGTCCTATAAAGGAAAATGAAAATACTGATAGTAAAAAAAGAGAGAGGGATGCTGGACAGGCATCTTTTGGGGAGTAATAGAAACAGTCTATATCTGTAATTCCCAGACTGTGTCAAGGTACCCCCAAGGAGCTGCATCAAGCTCCCAGTGACACTATGGGATAATTTCAATTTTCAAGGGAAACACAATGACATC